TTTGTACATCGGTTTGTGCCGGCCACATTTGTCGAATCTGGAGGTGCAATACGAGACCCATGCGATAACGTGGAACATGAATCAAGTAGGTCTCGAATATTGCTTCGTGATCCATCAAGACAGCAAAAGTTAGACAACTGCTGGTCACGATTGCTCTATGCACGCTTTTAATGCGAACTCGGAGCCGAGAGAGCCCCGGTCCCGTTATTGGCAGCAACACTGGGAATCAGAATATACGCCTGTGAATGCTACACGGGGAACAATAACGAAGTTAGTCATAGTTCTATTTGTTTGTTTGCAAAAAGTTGGCTAAGAAAAGTCAAATATTACTGCAGAATGTCACAGCATCCATTTATATCTCCCATCACTCACTCTGGATTGATCGATTTGGGCCACGCGATGCGCGATAGCCTGCCGCAAACGATTGCTCGCAATGGTGAGCCGTGAAATAGAAAGCGTCGGGAAGCCGACAAAACATGGTTGAATTATTGATATTGATGAGAGGATAGTACGACGGAGCTTCCAATGTATGACGGATCAAGAATATGCGCTTTTGACAGAGGGAAACACAAAGTACGAGAAACACAAATAGTGTATGAACATGTTTTGATGCACGAGAGAAATACCATGGAGAATATCTGTATTCTAAACGGCTCCAGCTATAGAGAATATTATAGTTGTCCAATGGAATAATCTATTGTCAATTCCGTCTAAATTGATGTGGTTGAGGCATTTTTATGTTTGTCTGTGTGAGAGCTAAAACCTCTACTAAATTACCTCCAAAAATGCAACTTCATGATCCACTGACAGAAGCTCAAGTTGCCCCAATAATAGCGTTTGCCGATTGCTTCCCCAGAAATATACAACTTTCTAATTATTCTACCAAGAGATAACATGCACCGTATTCAAGATCGACACATCAAAATTCGGATGAATTCAGTATCTATATATAAACCGATCGAAAATTCACAACCTTTTTATTCGGATTGCCAAATTCAAACATGATGTACTCGACATGCCGCTGGATTCTGTTCGCCGACGGTGATTGGTTTACTCATCAACCAATTGAATGCATGGCGCAGAATGCAGCCTGATCTTGGTCTTGGTGTTTTAACACACGTGACAAGCCGATTGAAACGTGTGGTGCGTACGTGTTTCGGGCATCACGTGCTTTAGCATTGAAGTTAAACGGAAATAGTCGTCTGGATGTGAATAAAGCGATCTTCCCTAAAGTTCCGGCAATTACTGCAGTTAGGGTCAGCACAAGCACAACTGACACTTTCATGAGTTTGTGCTTCCCACGACGATGATAGTGATTAGGATCGTCTGTTATCGGGGATAGAAGAGAGCGCTGGAAGCGAGTAAAAAGAAATATCGATTGCTGCTTTTTGGTGAGAACACTGCACTTTGATGGATACGAATGTGCTAGGTGTGCAAATCTTATACCGACAAAATTCACCGGAAGTGGGATAATCAGCACTCGACTACGAATGAGAACGACATGAGAAACGGGATTTTTCGTTCTTGCCCGTCTCATAACATTCGTACTTACCCTCCCAACTACTATGATCTTATGTTTCCGATGACTTTGATCATTTGTATTTTACCGTTGTCTTGACTATCTCCTATGCAATGATTCCGCGTGCTTGGCGAAAGCATTCCTCCGATTGTAGGCCATTTGTTGGGAACCTCATTGTTGGTGGCTTGCATCGCGTTCATCTGCTGTTACGAAAAATCATCTTGCGCCGTTTCGCTGTTATAGATGCGACATCGCTTCTGGCTGTGCTTCCCAAATTCGCAACGGCACTTCTCGAGTAAGACTGAGGTGGG